CTCCGAGAGCGAGGCGCAGCGAGCGCTGCAGTATGAGCAGACCCTGGTGAGTACCGGGGGCACCGGGCGGGCACCGGGCACCGGTGTGGCACAGGACGAGACGGGACGCGATGGAACAGCCGGGGATCTGGGGGGTCTGAGGGTGCTGCCCTGCTGAGGGAGGCAGAACTCCGCCCTGTTAGGGGTGCTGTCTCCTGTTTGGGATGTCGCCCCCAGCCCCCCCTCCAGCTGTGGAGGAGCCTAGCTGAGCCCCCACCCCCAGGGCAGGACTTCGGCACACACCTCAGCAGCCCCTGGCAGCACCCCTCCTCACTGGGAAGGGATGCCCACCCTGTGGGAGCTCGCAGAGGCGCCAGCCGGGCACACTTCTCTCCCCCACACGGCATGTCCCCGGCCCTCTGCCCCCAAGATAAGGTATCTCCCCCGCCTGCAACCTTAGCCCCATGTTTACAGCTCCTTTTCCTCAGAGGCCTCCCCACTGGCACCAGGGTGTCCCATTGTCCTGGGCTGCCCTCCTTCCCCGCTGCGTCCCCAGTCACTCTGCTGCTCTCCGCTGCCCACGGCCCTCAGACATCACGGGCAAAGGTGCTTTTCCCCAGCCTCTGCTTGGGACGGTGCCCAAGGCGGACGGTACTTTGCCCTGGCATTTGGACAGGCAGGGCCGGGGAGGTGTGCAGGGAGCAGGGACACACGGTTGTCGTGCCCACGGCTGCCCAAGAGAGCCTGAGCCGGTTTCTGTGCGCGAAGCGGGCCCTGCTGAGCCTTACCCACCCAGCATGGGCTCACGGGGCAGCATCAGGGCACTGCTGCTCTGTGTACCCTCATCTCGCCTTTCCCAGCACCCAAACCCTTCTTCTGGTGCTGCCCCTCGGTGCTCAGCCCAAGCTGCCCCTGTGCCGCTGTCAGGTGGCTGCAGGACACCAGCTGGCCATGGGAGCCCCATCTGCGCCGTCATCTCCGCGACCTCACTGACCCCACACTCCTTCCCGGCAGGGCTGAGTCAGGGAGCAGTCGGGGGCAGGAACAGGGGTGAGCTGTGGCCGTGCCTGTCCCTGCCGCCAGCTCCGGACGGCCCCCCTGGGCGCCCTGGTCACGGTGGGTGAGCAGAGAAGCCATCCCAGCCGGGCACTGAGGAGCCTGCGGGCAGGCATGAGGGGAGAGGCACGCAGGGCTGGCATCAGGGCAGCCATGCTCGGCACCAGCAGACTTTGCCCTCCTTCTCTTTGGGCAGGATAGCACCCACGTCCTGAGTGCTCCATGCTGCCCATCCCCATGGCCTCTGGGCTCAGAGAGGCTCAGGGAAGTGCCTGGGGATGCTGGGTGAGGCTGGGTGTGGGCTCCTGTCCCATAGCCTCACACCTGCGTTTTGGGAGCTGCCTGGGCACGTGCTGGGCAGGAGGCGTGCCCAGCCCTCCCCGGTGCATCTAAGCCACCACTAGCTCCTGCCAGCACCTGCCAGGAGGGTCAGGATCCAGCTGGAGCCCGGCATGGGCTGGTCTGAGCTGGGCAGCCCAAGGACAGCTCTTGCTGCCTGTGCCCACAGACAGGCCATCACAGCCAGGCTGCAGGGTTGTGCCAACCGTGTCCAAAGGCCTGTGTCCCTGCTCCATGCCCTTCCTCTCCCCATATTTCAACAGCCCTGGGATGCCATGGGTCTTGGGACCCCAGACCTAAAGGTCTCCCCAGTTATCCCACCCTGGGGTCTCCATGCTGAAGAGGTGTCTGTGGGAACCCGTGGCATGCCAAGGGTGCTGGGGTGCACATCAGCCTCAGTGCCCCCACATGCCAGGCTCTTGTGGCAGGGAGCAACGGGCCCCATGGGGGGGATTAAGCTTGACAAACTGCCCTTATTCATTGCAGAGCTGCTCAGGGTGATTAGAGGCTGGCTAAGACGGGCAGCGTGACACACACCCCCTGGCCCCTGCCTGCCTGCTGCCAGTCCAGAGGAACCCACAACCCCTTGCCTTTAAATATCTCCCCTAAGGGAAATTTGGGGGGGAAGGTTGGCTGGTGTTGGTCATGAGGAGGTGGGCACCACTCCCAATCAAGCTCAGTGCTGTGGGACAGGCTGGCACGGGGACACGGCAGCACCAGACGCCAGTTCCCCTCGCAGGCACGGCATCACCCAGGCACTGCAGGCACCATGGGCTGGCAGTGCCCAAGGGGCTGTGGCACAGCCAGTGCCTGCAGCGCCCGAGCCCAGGACCAACACAGTGGCCTTGGCCCGTGCCCGTGTCCCCGAGTGCCCCCCACCAGCCCCCCCTGTGCCCGCTCCCTGCCCGCCCGGCACTGTGATTGTTCAGCTGCTTCACGGCAGAGGCCGGAGTCCCGGGGCTGTTTGTGTTTCAAAAGGCCTTTGTGGAAAAATAACCCAAGCAGAGGAGGAGGAGGAGGAGGAAGGAGAGAGCCCACTGCTGGCCTTCACAGCCATGCTAGGGCTGTGGGCACAGTAGCTGTGGCTGCTCAGCACTGGACACCTGTGGGGGTCCCATGTCCTGCTTGTGGGGCTGTGGCATGGGGCAGAGGGGTGGCATTGGATGGCACAGGGTGGCAGGTGGCAGCAGGGTGGCATGGCCCCTTTGCTTGCATCCCTGTTGTTACAAGTGGGGTTGGCTCCAAAGTGGGGCAGAGGGGGAGCAAATCCCACCACCATCAACCAGGCTGGAGCCCCTGGGGCTGCACACCCCACCGTGTGCCCCAACACCTGGAGGAGTAGTGTGGTAGCCCCTGGCACAGCCCCAAGAGGTAGACACAGAGCTGGTTTGGGGGGCACTCAGCCTGGGGGTGTTTCCATCTTGGTTTGGGCTGGCCGTGGGTCAGCAGTGGGGCCAGGCAGGCAAGTGCTTGGCAGAGTGACAGCACTCCTGGGGTGCCGGCCCATTTCATCTTCCAGAGCAAACAAGCTTTTTCTGAAGGGAGCCTTTGAAATCAAGACCCCATGCAGGGCCGGGGTCGTCGTCTGGCAGCCGATGCTGGATTTGGCCCCTCAAGGTGGTCGTGCCTTTCCCCTCAGCTCTTTTCCACAGGGCAAGGAGCCACTGAGCCCATGCTGAGCAGGAGTTTGGGGGAAAATCCATGCTAGGACAGGGTCAACAATGGAACTTAGTTCACCCTCTTCTCCCTGCCTACTTCCCCA